GGCGGGGTTCACACTTATATTTAAGTATGAAAACATATATTAAAGATATATTATATTAAGTAAAGCTAAAAGTATATTAAAAATATATTAAATATTTTTCAACACAGATGGGCTCCCCTATCATCTCCACTGGATACTTTCCTTGGATTGAGACTACAAGTGATTCTTATTTGATGCTCTCACATTTCTAGTAATCCATTCTTACTAAGTACAGTGATGTTTATTTAGATCAGAGCATAATTCAACAAAACCACTTCAGCCTACATTAAGACATCTAAGGGAAGAAAAAACAAGCACCTTCAAAATATTTGTTATTAGAAGGAAAATATGGAGAGGACATAAAGTAAGATAAGGATGTGAGACAGGAATGAAAGGACAGGGGCTTTTTAGCCTCATCTACACTGATTAGAAACCATCTAGATTTTGTACAGCTTTGAGAACACAGACGTACCTCATTGGTTTGTTAGGTGCAAATATTATATTGAAGATCAGTGTTATAATTCCAGATTCTGCATCCCGATCCTTTTGCACTAGATTTATAGCCACTGAAGACTCAAGCTGAGATTTAACTTTATTGGATTTATATTGAATTTCATATAAAAATTCATCTGTTGTAGAAAACCCTAAATGACACAAGAAGAAAAGATCATTTTGTATACATTCTAAACTCAATCATTTGATTGTCTCATAAAATTTCAATTGCAAAAATGCCTCTTAGTACTGAGTATGATATATAAGTTACTAAACAGGTATGAACCTGGAAGTGGAGTGACTACTACCTACTAGCTTAAATGTACTACTTTCTATGATGGGATGGATAACTACAGACAAAAATAAAGAATTAAAAATATTCAGTAGTGTAAAATACTCTGGTTACTACACAAACAGCTGAAAAAGTTATTTCTGGGTGATCAGTCAAATGTAGGTTAGAAGACCATAATACTCGTTGTGGCTGCTGCCACTGGGACACTATAAAATAATCCTTCATTCGAACAATGATGTTAGTGCTGGCTGCCTGGGTGAGAAATGGTTGCTGTACTGAATAATAGCAACCATGTCACTAAGCAGCCTGTCTTCTCATCCACTACAGAACATATTTAAAAGCCACAAACCAATGTTCCAGGAGTAACCAACTGAATATCAAGAAGCAAAAAGGAGAGCTGGTAAAAACATCAGCCTCTGGAAAAATCGAGTATATAACAATGGGCTCTATGGAAGGGGACTTCCTTTTTTATACTTGTCATTTAGTTATGTTGCTGATCCATTAAGACTCACACATTTTGATGATCAAAATCCTTTTAAAATCATCATGTAAATTTGCGGAAGATTTAGTCCTATTTAGGCAGATGCATCTCGAGAGACTTGCTGAGCTTGCACTGCTTACTGAGATGCATTAAGGTTGGAAATCTGTTATGTATATTTACTTTCATTAAAACAGTCCTTTGGTCTCTATACAATATTGCTTTCCCAGAAGAGCAAATTTACTGCAGTTTTGCCTGTCTGTAAAACTGCTCAAAGTGAACTAAAAACTTCATTCTCTCATTTTTAAGGAAGATGCTCCGTTTCATCATTTAGTTAATCCGAGAGACAATTAGAACTTCTGTTACTGTCTATGAAAATATTCTATTTCCTTGGTATTCCATAAGTTAAAACCTGTATGCTTAATAGCTAAATCTTTTTCTTGGATTCTTTAATGGAAGGAGTTTCACAGCTGTAAGTGGAACTTACCATCAGTAAGCAGCAGCCTACGACTCAGAATATATAGGCTGAGAGTATATAAATTCTGTGCAAGTTAAGTTATGATACTGTAGTTTTGAATTAGATCATAGAATCATTGTAGAAAAGTAGGGTTGGAAGGCTCCTCAGGAGGCCATCTAGTCCAAATCCCTGCTCAAAGCAGGACAGCCATATGAAGCAGGGATGAACCATACTGTCCCAGGCTTCATGGCATCCTTGCTGAGGCCCTGAGTTGTCAAGAGAAGTGTGGGGAGGGCTGGCTGTGGGCTGTGCAGTTCATGCTTGTGCAGTGGTTGTTGTGCTGGTAGAGGGGGGACTTGTAAAGAATTATGGAAAATTAGGGTTGGAAGGGACTTCAGGAGGTCATCCAGTCCAACCCCCTGCTCAAAGCAGGACCACCCCAATTAGATCAACCCAGCCAAAGCTTTGTCTAGCTGGGCCTAAAAAACCTCCAAAGATGGAGTTTCCACCACCTCTCTGGGTATCCTGTTCCAGTGTTTTACTGCCCTCCTGGTGAGAGAATTCTACCTAGTATCTAACCTAAACTTCCCTCACTGCAACTTGAGACCATTGCTCCTTGTTCTGTCATCTGCCACCACTAAGAACAGTCTAGCTCCATCCTCTTTTGAACCCCACTTGAAGGCTGCTATTAAATCCCCTCTCAGTCTCCACTTCTCTAGACTAAATAAGCCCAGTTCCCTCAGCCTCTCCTCAGAAGTCATGTCCCCAAGCCCCCGAACCATTTTTGTTGCCCTCTGCTGGACTCTCTCCAAGTTGTCCACATCCTTTCGGTAGTGGGGGGCCCAAAACTGAACACAGTACTCCAGATGTGGCCTCACCAGCACTGAATAGAAAGGAATAATCACTTCCATTGACCTACTGGCAACACACCTACCAATGCAGCAACGTGGGCACACTGCTGTCTCATACACATCTTATTGTCCACTGTAACCCCCAGTTGTAACCCCCAGGTCCTTTTCTGCAGAGCTGCTGCCCAGCCAGTCTGTCCCCAAAGTGTCTTTGTGCATGGGATTGATCCATCCTCAGTGTAGGACTTTGCACTTGTCCTTGTTGAACCTCATGAGATTCCTTTTGGCCCAATCCTGCAATTTGTCTGGGTCACTGTGAATCCTAGACCTAACCTCCAGTGTATCTGCTATTCCTTCTCCACCCCCCACAAGCCCCTTGGTGTCATCTGCAAATTTGCTGAGGTTGCACGCTATGCCATTTTCATAGTTTCATAGTTTCTAGGGTCGGAAGG